CATTTTGTGCAGGGAAAAGACAACAAAATTGGAGAATCTTCACAAAATCCAGTGAAGGGAAAAGGAAAAGAAATGGTCAATGCTGGAAATGAGGGTGTGAAAGCTAAGCTGCCAGTGAAGAGGAGCTTGAGGCTACAAGGTGTTGTTGGTGAAAAGCCACAAGCTCTTACACAACCTGTTAGGCCACCAAGAAGCAGCAACATGCTTGATGGTGTGAGATTTCTACAAGAAAAAGGGTTGCATACTCTCAAGTCTAGAATATTTGTTGTTTGGAGTTTGGTTGGTCTGAAAAGTTTGTAATGCCATGTATTGACATTCTGAAAGTTTGTTTGAAGTTTGGTTAGTCATTTTGATTTGAACATATTGGGATTGGAACAATTTCAGATTTTGTGTTGGTATGTTTATTTGGGAATATTCTGTGATGGTCATTTTGATTTGAACAGATTGAGATTGGAACAATTTCATTTCTATATGTTTGGAATAGGAAATGATATGCCTTTTTGTTGTACTCTTTGTTTGGAATATGTTGAATTTCATTTCAATATGTACAGGTGAATACATTTGTTATTTTTGTACCCATTTGGTTGTTCTAATACAATAGTTATGTAAGTCCATTTCACCACACACATAAGCATAAACCAAAAGATTTTTTCATTCATTCATCAAAGCATAAATGGATAATGTTACATATAATAGAGACATAGACTGAAGTCTTACAAAACATAACAAATGACTAAGTTTCAACCAGCAATTCAAATGGGACTTAGCCACATCCTAACAAACTGAAACATAAACCACCAACATAAATCACCATTTCACAAAGAACATGATCAACCAAGAAAGAACCATCATTCCCCAAAGTCACTTCTCCCTAGACTTCCTTGTAGCCAACTCATCTTCAAGCCTATTAACACGTTTCAAAAGCCCTGAAATTATTTGTCGATATCTCGGGCACATTGGAGGGTCAATCCAAGAGAAATAATTGTATCCTCCATTGCCCTGAATAATTATAAATCAATTGAACACAATCAATCAATTAGGGGTTGCAGATTAATTAAGGAAAAAAATTAGGGTTACCAATTGAAAATTAGATAAAAAAATTTAGGGTTGCAGATTAGGGGAAAATTTTAGGGCTGCAAATTAGGGTTGCCTCCTCCAATTATCTGATTATCAATCAGTTAGACAATGCAAAGTTCAATTAAGTATGCAGATTAGTTCAATTAGGGTTACGAATTAAAAATTGATTGC